CATGTATACAATGTGTATAGTCTACCATGGGAAAACAGTGGATAATGAAAGATGATGAAAAAAGGGAAATAAGCAAAAACAAGTCGAGTTCATAGGGAACTACGTGAGCGAAATGGACGAGGTAGAAAGTGAAGCTATTGCATATGAAAATATCTGCAGGGATGAATGCAGCTGCGAAATTTGAAAAGTCGAGCAACATTGATTAAAATCAAGGTTCGATTGGCACCGGTTGTTTGCGCGATTCGATTGTCTCTTTGTGAAATTGACAAGCTCGGTAACGACGAGTACACGGGAAGCTGCGCGTCAATTGACGTTTGTTAACTTTAAATGGAAAATAAAAATTGACTCTTGTCAAACTATTGCATTGACATTAGCCTACTTTACGATTGCGTTACAAGCCGTAATTAGGATGATTATACGTATGAACAAGTGTCGAGAAGGAACACTGTTCAATTATAACTTTGTTCTATTTAATTTTTTTTATCCATACACTCAATTTCCTAATTCGTCAAATTCATCGTAAAATGAAATTTTTTCCTGTTGGTATACCTGTTTCAATTTCTACACGATTTCGCGTAATATTACAGAAAACGAAAAACTCCGCGGTTATCAGGAGGAATTAAAGTCTCTTTAATGGCTGCGTGCAGGACGCTCGTCTAGTGGCTATTAATAGTCCGGTAATGATCAGGACTGTATAAAGCATCTGAATTAGTAAATAAAATCGATCCTTATATACAGTGTGTATAATTAAATAAAAATTCATAAATATATATATATATATAAAAAATAATCAAAATTCCTCCAATAAGTAACACCCCATCGAATAAATAATTTAAAAAATAAATAAATATTCAACTCCCGCCCGACATACGCACTCTCGTCAAATGCCAAAGCCAATTTACGTGTCAAGCATCTTCAAAGCAGCCGCTGCAATTACAATAGAAACCAGCTGATAACACCCACCACCAACTTTCGCGGATTCACCTGTAATCTCAAAGTTCAAATTTGTCATCGCAAATTTTCCCACCAAAACCCGTCTGATCACCCATAATGATATTACTACAAAAATATTTACGGTGTCGCAATTTTAAATTTTCTCCGAATCAATTCAGCCCAGCCGATGTAACTAAAGCTAAATAGCCAATGTACCCAAGTTAGGATCACCGCCTTGTTTATATCGACTCAGCTCCATTGCTTACTTACCCCAAGCTTTCTAACGAGAATAAACCATTTTCTTATTTCCTATATGCTATACGCTTCGTTACGTTATCTAATAAAGTCACGTGCTTTATTCTTGGTTAATAATACAAATTTTACTTGATACGGTCACTCTTAACTTTTTACGGTATGTCTGCGCTAAAGGTATATAGATATATTTCGGTATCAATAAACGAGCCTGGGCTACGCCCTATCGTTTTACTAACCGCGATTTCCTGGACGGTATTAACTAAACGTCACGTAACACGTGGTGGCTTCATATTAACGAACGGTTAATTCGGAAACAGGTGGCGAATATGTTAGACAGGACCTACGGCGCTCGGGTGAGGCGATTGGTTTCACGTGCGTCATTCTGTTGCGGTTGGCTAAGCGATATCCCTTAAATATATACATACACGTATATACATAACAGCAAGATGCACTCCCGTTATACAATGCAACTGCACCGTATACAATGCAATTATTAAAGTTTAGCTTTACATTTTTTTTTAATACCCACAATTTTCTTTCAGACTGGCCGTACTTTGACGTTAATTCTATATATTAATATTTAAATTCTAATTGTGTTTTCTTCATACGTATCATACGGATATGGCGGCAATTTCAAAATAATTAATAACAGCGCGTGCTGTTACGTAAATACGCGAGGATTCGTGGAGACAAACTAGAAGGATAGAGAGAGAGAGAGAGAGAGAGAGAGAGAGAGAGAGAGAGAGAGAGAGAGAGAGAGAGAGAGACGTAATGCTGTGGGTGGGCGACCACGTGGCTCGATGCCAGCCACATACATCATACCGTGACATAATCATCCTACATTCGCACCCCACCCAGTCTAGTTCTCACCCTCGAGTAACCCTCCCCCTTGTGCCCCCCTACCTATATCACCCCGTATACAAGAACCTTTGGTACTTGCATATTGCTGTATGCTCGCTGCAGATGCACCCTGGACCAATAGCACGATGCATCCGGCCGTAACGTAACTCGCTGATATTTAAATTACACTGAGATTTGAACATAGGGATTTTGCTGGAATCTCAGAATGCAGTTTTATTGCGTTATCGTAAGCTTGATTATGCCCACTGATAAGAGCACTTAATACGAACACCATGGTACGTATTTCAAAATCGATCGGTATTAAATTTTTTTTAAATTCAAAAAAATAATAATTTAAAGACTGGATATTAATGATATTGATCCGGTCTATTTAATAGATTTTATTGATCGTAAGATAATTGCACTTCAGAATGCACTTAAGTGCAACTGCATACTACCCGTCGTGATCGAGGAACTGGGAAAGAGGAGACTGTAAAAAATACATATGGGTTATATGGGACCGGCGTGTCCGATTGACATACGGTTGTAATGACGTTGGAAAATACGAGGGACAATAAATTCGAATGCTCGTATAAAGATCTTTACATTCGATAGCTATATGTCCGATGCGATAAGTGTATCAATAAAACGTGCTTTACGAGGGTGAAATATATTTAGTGTCTCGACGCCGATCGAACGCGTCGACCAATAAAGCCAGTCGGGTGGAGCGTCGCGAAATTCACGAAACTTGCACTTTCACGCTGTACGACTGACTTTTATATATTTTTTATAGGGTTATACAGCTTTTTCACAAGTGACAGTTATGTATTTGTAAGGTCCTCTGTTTATTTTTAGGTTAACACGTGGTCATCTGCTGTTGGGATATGCTGTGCAATTGTATTGTAGCGGTATATTTTTATTTTCTTTTTTGAATAATTTTTCGAAAAATAATTCCTACGGATTTTATTTGGAAAACTTTATGTTTTTATTTGTTACAAGGGTATATTTGTTCTTCTTGCTTTGTCTATTGGGAATATTTATTAGAATCTAATGTTTACGAGTGATCTTTACTATACTGCGGTTCGAGCTAATTATTTAAAGGGTGGACTGGCTTCCAATTAGTTTTATTGCAAGTATAATACGTACCGTCTATTAATTTTAACGACACGCTCGAAACAGACCTCTCATGCCGTTCATTGAAACACGAAACTCGCTGCGTTAATGCCCGCTGAAGTTTTATACTAATTAATTTACAGCCCTATACTCGCTTCGTCGTAATTCGGACTGCGGTATACCGATACTTAAGGAATAGGAGAGGACTGGTGTTAATAAGTGTATTATATATAATATAATTGATAGCCGATGTAAATATGATAATTAGAAGAAAGATTTGCTGCAACGATGTATTAATATAATTCAAAAGAAATATTTTTTATATAAAAATCAAAGCATCGGAAGATATAGAAATATATGTGTGTTTTGGGAGCTCGTATAATTAATTAAATCAACGTCAATATTGTCAGCAACAAAGTGAAGTATAGGTATCGTGACCTCAACTTGAAAATTCTTTGACAATATAACCTATCGAAGATGGCGCCAGCGTGCGGTTTAATCGAGCGTACGTCAATCAATTTTAATCGTTAAAAACTCCGCGACTACAGGTCGGGCGAAATTAAAAAAGTTTTCTTTTTTTTTTCGCCACGAACGCAAAAGCACTTTACATTGAACTTGAAATGATTTTCGAGCACAGCAATTTTTTCTTTTTATAACACCGGTAGGACCTAATTACAATTTTGGCCGTCATCTCATTCGTCGTTAAAAAAAAAAATGTAGCATAATTGTCAGAGTAAAAAAAAAGTAATAGAAAATCCAATGAATAAATTTAATATTATCGAAAATCTAGTGTAATAATCTTCTGGCAAGCTTACGCGCATGGATAGAGGGAATAAAAAATGATAAAAAGATTTTAGATTAATTGGTCTGTAATCGCATGAAAATGGTGCCATAACCATGGATCATAATACAAACTTTAGTGGAGCAACCGAGTAGCGGAGTCGTGTGGAAGACCAAGCGGACCTTCGTTCAGTAATGCACCAAGTTTTAATTGTTATAGGTTACCCAGGTCCTCCTGGTTATTTCATTCGTTAATCATTCAGAGTCTAATTTATAGTGTTCACTTCTGGTTAGATCAATATTAAGATAGCACAAGACGAATGGATTGTTGATATTTGTAATGGTTTGTTGAGAGAGTACTCTCTGCTTCATAACACAGGTTTCTTATGGATGATCATCATAGACGTAGCGATTATTTTTATTTAAGAAAAAAAATAAAAAAAGCATCCTTTCCCATTCAGAAATTACTACTAAATTATCCCACTTAGAAATACCAAAACGTATTCGTGCGTACCGCCATCAGTCTGTCTTTTTAGATTCCCTTGGCTCGCTATAGAAATTTCCAAGTAACGATACGCCATTATACAAAAATCTGGTCCTAGTATTTTTCGTGGGAGCGTCGACCATCTGGTCGCTCGGAATCAGACTACAAAAGAGCGTCCCGACGTTCGCGTGTATAGAAGATAGTCATAGTAATTGTCTTTTTCAAATTGATCAGTATCCCCTTTAGGTTCTATCACGGTGCTGATAAATTCAGTGATATAAAACACAAATTGAATTTCCCAAGATTTTAGCAGTACGATTAATTCGAGTTATCGTACTGATCGACAGAGTCTAGATTGCGTATATTTCATTATGGGAAAATACGAGAAACAAATACCTGTCAGCTGATTGTTGTTTTTCTCGTTCTTCGATCCCAGGGCGTGATTAAGTGAGAGAATTTCACCTTCCGAATTTTCACCATAAAAGATACTCGATTTAGCACCAACTGTCATTACAGCGTAGTTGTCTAACCCACCACTGTTTTATAGGTAGATGGCGCTAGATATCGTTACCCAGCATCGACCGCGCGATCTATCCAATATGGCGACGACAACGAGAACGAATTGACGTGCGGGTGTGTTACGTCTTGTCCCTCGGTGAAAAAACCAGCAACAAACTTGAAAGTCGTGGTGACGTGATAACAATAAGATAGTAAAGGATTAAGAAGTGGATTAAGGAATATCAAAGTGCAGTCCATAGACACTCAGTCATGTACGTATTAACAATGTATAATAATATATTCGCGCATTCACGCTCTCCTAATAAACCTTCCGTATCTCTATAAATGATTTTCAACTAATTAGTATCGCATTTACAGGCAATTATAAACAGATTAGTTCGCCCCTGGCTATGATAATGTCACCGCAAACTGCGTCCACGATTGCGAAAACGATGGAGTCGATTTTCGACAATGCTGTAACTACGCAACATACTTCAAGGTATTTGACCTTCAAATTTTTCTAAAAACTGTGTATTGTCAACTTAGCTGTCCTGTATATTGTCTCAGTCCCTTAAATTTGACATACGTCTTGTCAGTTTCTCATGTACATACTTTGGTTAATAAAATTTCCTGCATGCGCAACGAAATTGGAACGAACGTAATTCTCTTTCTCTCTTTCCCTTTATGAGAGGCAGTTTACTATCGTACCCAATACCAATTTACCTGTCTCTTCGATGAAAATAAGGCTGTGCCTCTGAAATATGCTCTGCCACATAGGTACACGTATTCATACGTAACTTTACATGATCCGCTTTCGGAATGGAGAGAAATTGGTCAGTTTGACTTCGAGTCTGATGACTCTCTTGCTGAAAAATTATTCATGTTTGACGGTTTATGGCGACGCGAAATCTGCATAAACAACGGGTCGACTGATATTTATAGCCAATTATGTTGCGTCTCCAAACACGCCGCCATGTGCTCACATCGTCCATTGTGAATAAAAAAAGTTTCAAAACTGGAACAGCACTTTGTATACGATTCATATTACTAAATTACTCGAGTGTACGATACTTTTAAATGCTTGCAACAATTAAAAGTTATTGATCGATCATAATTATTAAAAGTTCGAACAACCGGATGTTAATTAACTCATAGGACGATATAACGAATACGATTTCACAATTTTTCCAGTTAATTTCACACCGTAAAATAAAAATTGCCCAAGCCAATACATACCAACCACACGTATTCAAGTATAATAGACGCGTTCCCTTCCTTTTATGGCTTTCGAGTAATTAATCCAACCTCGTTTTAATTGACATTCCAATCGTCTCAGAATCATTAATTATATCAATACTTCCTCGTTAATTAATAATAACTGTCGACATTACCATCGAACTAGGTACTTTTCATTCGTTTAATTTATCATGAATTCGAATCAAATTTTTATTCAACCACTCATAACCATAACACATACCTCATAAAACAATATCTCAGGTAAACAGTATCGATAAAAATTACACTTGCATAACCAAATTGTTGAAATCGCTCCAAAGTAAAAAAAAAAAAAACATTTTTGACAAACAAAAAGTCAAAATTCAGAATATAAATACCCAACGAAATCCCAAGTAAATCTAAGCTGCATACTGGGTGCATTTTATAGTGAATGGATATCGGCGAGGAGTGTTTACCGGTGCGCAGAAAACAAGGAATAATGTCAGCCATTATCCAGAGAGCAATGACTCGATAAAAAAGCTAAATACGTAGGTACTATACGTGCGCCTCCCGCCAGGCCGGGTAATCGTGTGTTTTTATCCCAGCGGTCTTCACAAATCTGTCGAGCCGTTAAGGTAAGTGCGCCGCGGTTGCATCGTGCCCAGTTTTCTCCCCACTTCTCATATGTGCACTCCTTCCCTCTCGCTCTATTCTCTTTCGCATAGCATTTCTCTTTTCCCATTGCTCCCGTCCCTCGATTCCTCAAACCGAGCCTCGGCTATAGCAGCCCTGCCTCTCCTCCTATCTGGATAGAAAGTTCCGCGTAGCAGCGACATAACTCATCCGGCACCCTTGCGCAGCTTCTCTTGGACAGCCGTGCCCAGCAGTAAGATAAGATAGTACCCTAACCTAACCCAACCTAAATAGTCTGCTAATTGAAGACTTTTACCCTTTCAGCATGGCTAAGAATTGTCTTCAGGATTAACTTCCCGGCGCGACCTCATAAGCCACGGTTAATTAGAAGCCCACAGCATCCAGCTTGCGGTCCAGATATGCACGTGAGTGATGAAATTTTTTTTTCTACAAAAATCTTACTCTCGAATTTTTTTGGTCTCTTATCGATCACGTATCCGATCTCGAAACTTTTATAGACGTATTCTAGCCCGATGACGTCATCGAAATTTAATCTCCACGAGATCAGAAGTCAAAACTAGTACGTCAAACGAACCGACGGTGCTCCATTTACATTGCATCGTCACGTTGCCATTTTCCGTATCTCGAATGCATCAAATGCGTTCTGGTAAAACGGTTTAAGGGTTGAATGTACGTTGGGGGATGAAACTCCAGCCTATCGCAACACCCCACGGCATTAATGCACTTCTGAAATGGCCCCTCGTAAAGCCACGTCTACACCCACCCAGATACAGTGTTTATCTCGCTTGGATTCTATACATTGCCTTAGGTGTATATATATATACACGTACAGTACGTATAGCAATATATGCACACCCCATATATTTCTCCTTTTTTTATTTCACGGACTACGCGACTGATTTTCAATCAGGCGACACGATCCAATCCGCCTATATATCAATCGTACCCATAAAAAGAAGTCTTTTATACGCGGCTTAAAGTTTAATTAACATACCTCTAATTGTTTTAGCAATTTCACACTTGACCTTTCGTTGACGCATTTATATCTGGTGACGAATCTGACACACAGGGTCAATTCGACCCGGACGGTAGCTCGTCCATCGAACTCGAACAACCGTTCGGTCGATTTTTATGTAAAAAATTAGGAATACACTTTCAACGCCTCTTAATGCGTTGGCATAATCAAAATTTGGAAAAATATAAAATTAAATTGTTATGAATTATTGAAAATTGTCATTTTAAGAAAAGTGAGCAGTGTACCGAAAAAAATGTCAAAAATCTTACCTTTCGAAAAAATAACAGTCCTGGGTCAAAATGACCCGGTGTGTCAACGGATGGTTAAATATTTATATTTACTTATTTTGTCTTTCACCTTGTCTCTCTCTCTCACTCTCATATGTTACGTTTTACCATTAAGCACCGTATACATATGTATTACCGCTAAAAAATAGTACCAATTGTAATGCGTACTTAAGTCCCACTTAAACAGGTGTTTCAACAGTGTACACTGATTGGCCGTACGTGACGTGCACACGGCTTTTCTCGGCTTTACGGGTTTGCGATCTCAAACGAGGCCGCTTAATCACGGTCAGGCTCGTAAATCAATTGACTCGGAAGTTACGTAACGTTGGGGAAGAGTTGACAGAGCTTAGCAGTATTTCAAGATATCCTGACCCAGACGTTATTTCATTGAATTTCGAACGATAAATCGAAAAGTTCGACAGTCCAGGACACGATAATAAAGGATTTTTATTCGATTAATTAAATACCGTCTTACTAATATCTTACTTCGATATACTGTATGCTGTGTGTATTGCTGAAATATTATGTGTAAGACTTTATATCGGTTTTATAGAAAAATTTTCATTATAGAAATATCAGGCTGTACGTGTGTATTCACTGTGCTAGAGTCAATATTTGCTCGTGATAACTTATAGACGATAACTTCTTTTTTTTTACTGGATATATTATATTTACGTATATACAATATATGACGTATTTTATTTATCGTGAAAATTTACAAAACGCGTTATCGGATATTATCAGGGAATATTTTTCGAGACGACTTTCATATAATTATTTATTACTGATACAGGGATTAAAAACGGTAAAATTTTTGTACTATCAACACATACTGGATAATTCAAGAATTTATAAAAGTCCGATGACAGTAATCGAAGGTATAATTCGAAAATTGCGAAATTATCCAAGATCCTCATTTAACGTTTCGCTAGGCTAGAAACAACATTTATCCCGTTTGCAAAGTAGTTCAACTTTACGATCCCACGGATGACCGCGTATTTGTTCATGGTGTATACCATGGAAAATTCACAGCCACGACGACGCGTCCATTTTCACAATTTTTCCTAACCTAGATCCTCTCGGAGTGGACCAGATTCACAACCATGACAGTTACCAAGTACCAATAAAATGTTCATCTTATTATACCAATAAAACTATTGACCCCCTTTCACCCTAAAAAAAATACCCACTATAAACCAGTATATCCCCAATAAAATGATAAACTAAAAATCAAATAATTGAAGAAAGAAAAAAAAGGAAAATCTGTTCCACGACCGTTCCAGGAGATCCTGCAGCAGGGAGGTTATCTGTGTACGATAGCAGCCTCAGATCCGAGATAGGCGGAGCCAGGGTAACATTATCTCTTATTTGTGGCACCGTAGATTCTCGAAGGAACCAACCCAGGTATCCATATCACACCCCATGCAGTGATGTTCGCTACTGTAACGTGTGACTTTCCATCCTTCCTCCCCCCCCCCCCCAA